ATTTGTAATGAGATTTTTCATTTATACTGTTATAATCCTATCTTTTTAACCATTGCTATTGAAAGAACAAATCCTTGGCACTGGGATCATGATGTCGCTAGCAATGGGTAAAAGAAAGAACATGCAGTAGAAGTCTGAAATGAGACTTTCGTTTGTTAAAAAATCTCTCCCCTCGATATTGACATAAATAGTATATTAAGTCAGCCGTGTTTCCTTTTATATTGTCGATGACATTTACTGAAGTATTTTCTATTGATTTACTTCAAATACATTTTTAAAATTTGGGTTGCTTTTAAATCATTCACATTTTGTTGTCATACATCTGATATACAAATGTTACACGATTTGTAAAGTCTATTGAAACAGCTTGATAGTTTACATGTTTTCATTCGAACAGTATTTATTCAAATTGCACTTTTTCAGATAATATCTATAATACTGGACTGAATAAATATAATTTTTGCAGTTTTGAACTTTGGGTATGAACTTCAATATCATAACATCATTAGGTCAATCAAGGATAATACTTTATCGTACCTTAAAAAATCATTTTTAGGTGTTTCAAAACGATTCACGATCTGAATTGCTTCTAAAAAAATTTATTCATAGGGACAAATAGAATATAAAATAGTAAAGAATATCTGTGATTAATAATAAATATCTTCATTTTTACAATTAAGATTTGAAAGTTGTTCTATAATGAATGTTACAGATTTTGGTTTTTATCACTATTATTAGGTTTTGAATATAGAAATAGATGTTTTTGTGACATTTAAAAAAAAATCTTTGTTTTATGGATTAGAAACATTTAATAAAGCATCTAAAATTTTATGAAAACTATCTACATCATTTATTACTTTAAACAATTGTTCATATATTTTTTTGATTCTGAGTTGCCAATAAGAATTATATTAGGAAGTTTCTTAGGTTTTATGTATAATATAAATTGTATCATTAATTGTTTTACCAGCAAAGTGAGTGCAAACTGTAAATTGTTTCTATCAGTTCTGTGTCTGCTCTCATCAGCACTTTCTTAGAAGCTAGATTTATCTGATAAATATTTTGGGCAGTGGAGCAGCTGTTAAGGTAAACCATCCTTTCAAAACCTTGGAAGAACTAAATTAGTTTTTATAAAAGTTCATTTTTTCTCATCAAAATTCTCAATTACTCTTTAAATGTCGAGGTCACAGCAGTTTTTCCCCCAAATTAAGAAATAAATGAAAATGCAGTTTTCATGTAAGGCCTAAGGTTTTCATTCAGGAATAAAGTTAAGGAACTGGAAAATACCATATGGTTAAATTCCAGGATATGTATTCATTATCCCAATATTGTGAAAAGCTTGTAAGTGTTCATGAAACGTGGGCGTGTTCTTATATTCTTTTCACTGTGGAATAGCTATTTCATTGTCTGGTCTGTCGCTTGCTTTTGACTAACATTTGGTCTCTGAATTCAAAAATACCCTCAGTTTTTGTCTATCACTTCCTGATAGACAAAAACTGGAGGTATTTTTTAAGCTACATGATAACCTCACTTTGTCTCAAAAGTCGTACAATATATGTATATAAAGGTAAAGGGTAGTCTTACCAAATATACTGTTCACAGAGAATTTTATTCTTACAAATTCTACATATAGTAATAGCAAGCTAAATTTTGTTCGTACAAAGATTTTTTATTTTTTTTTTTTTTTTTACCAGACAATACACATACACGTGAAGGTAAAAATTTTCCACATATATAGACTTAGTTTCATATGGACTGTTATGTAATTCTGAATACAAAAACAATTCATCCCTTTTTTTTTTTTTTTTTTTTTTTAGCAGCAAAATGAAAAACTGCGTTACCATCAGGATTGCCATATTAAGCGATACAAATGTATCTAATTTGGTGGCATCACTGATTTGCATTTTGGGGGGTTTTATACAGAGAAGCATTAACATAAATTTTTTTAACTTCTGTATGGCAATATAGCTAAAAATAACTTGTAAACTATTGCTGCAAATACTGTTTAAAAAACGATTGAAAATTCTTTATATTAATTAATCTTCTTTTTTTTTATCAGCATCTTTTGAGACAACCTAAAGCTATACTTAAAAAAAGCAAAAGATAAAAAGTTCTGAAGCCAATGAAAACAAGGAATGATATAAAAAAGGTATTTAAACCAGTTTGAAAACTTAATATGCTGTCTCATAATCTATCTTTTAGTACCATCAATGAATTGTTTTAAAATCATTTTAAAAATTCTCTCTTTGGTTGTATATGTTAATTTTAATTGCTCTCATTTACTTCATTGTGTTTTTTTTTTTTTTTTTTTTTTTTTTTTAAATATACCTTCGTTGTTATCACAGAATTTTGCTTTACATTTCAGACAGTTTAAGGCTACTTTGGCAATGAAAATGTTAGTAGGTGACTTTAGAAATTTAGGGCAGAATATTCCAAGTTTTTCCTTGATAGTTGAAGAAAATGCTGTTAAATGTACTAAAATTTTCATTTGTTCGATTTCCTTTTTTTTTTTTTTTTGTTGGTGAATAGGTTTTTCCTTCATATGTCGGTTTGTGCGGTCCTCAAGTTTTTTTACTCAATTTTTTTGTCCTCAAAAGCAGGGCTGTGGAGTAGATAGGGAAAATGACAGACTGGAATTTTAAAGACTCCGGCTCCCTCATATATATGAAACATATCACATGGTTACAGCTTGTTTTTTTTTATACAAAAGAATAAGTAATAATCTACGAACAATTATGTCATAGCAATTATTTATTAATTATCCTTATTATTAAATGTAAAAACTGATTAGTATTTAAGAAAGAGTACAGCTTCGGCAAGATCTTTGTTGGAGGGCCATAGATCCGATTTGATAAACTTCAGAGCTAAGAAGAGTGTTTCCACACTGATTTGAGTAGGAGGAAGATGTGTTACTGTTAGGGCTACTTCTTTTAACTTTACAGGATAGATTTTTAATTTCTAAATGAGGTGTCTTGCAAGCGCAATCATATTTCTCTAGTTCTTCAAAGGCCATCTAGAAATCCTGTTTATATTTTTTCATTTTTATATCTGGCTCTTGGTTCTTTTTTTCATTCGCTTTGCCCTTAGCCTATTCAATATATACAAAATTTGCAAAATTAATCCTGGAAGAGGATGAGGGACTCAAAAGCAGTGTTGCAGTTTGCTGACTGATTGAATTATCCAATTGTTTGAGAATAATTTCTCTTAACGAAGCTCTAGATGACTTTCTTTGCCTTTTTATTGTTCGATATCCAAGAAAATTCGGGTTTTTGGACCAATATATTGAACCCAGCAGATCTATTGTTTAGCAAATAGTTTCTCTTTTCTTTATTGAAGAAATGATTCCTTCTGCAATAAATCCTCTACTTCAGAAAGAACAAACATCCCATTCTTCCAATTTCCTAATATTAGCTATAACAACTATTATAACTTAGCAGCCGTAAAGGAAATTTAGATGATTTAATTAAGTTCATTCAGTTTTGACCTGGAAAGCATACTTTTTTATAGCAGTTAAAATATCTGGTTGTAATGAAAGTTTCCCCGCCACCGCAAATATCATCTGCGCAAACAGTTTGCTTTGGCATGCTTAATCATATTTAGTCAACTGATTCTGGGTATTTGAAAGAAAGACTTGCTTAGAACACTGTGTTACGAAATATGTAAGTACAAGGTGTCTGAAATGGAACTGTTATGCTACCAGATTAGAACCATGATTTACTTCCAGTTCTATTGCAGAAAGTCAGCTACAGAATGTCACTAAATCATGTGTATAGCTTTAGGCACTAATGTTGTATCATATGACACTGTGAAGGTTTGCCCAAAGTTCAAAAACGAGAATTAGGACATTAAGAAACAGAGCACTCTGGCCGGCCTACTGATGTTGATGAGGCCCGTCTGCGAGAACTTATGGAAGATCATTATGCAACTACCCGAGAGCTTGCTAAGGTGTTAGATATTAGTGCCATGTCTATTAGTCATGCTATGCATCGTATAAACTTGAAGTTAAATCACCGGTTGCCACATGAGCTACTCGAGTAGATAAGAACAGATGTGTTCGAACCTGTGTTAATCTGTTCAAATATCAATGCAAATATAAAATTTATACTGGATTGTCACTTGTGATGAAAAGTGGATTTGCTTCAACAACACAGGCCAAAAAGCGGGTTGGTCTGTGCTTTTCGGCAGCATTGCTAAGCACAATTTAACTAACGAAAAGAACCTGCTTTGTATCTGGGTAGGATTGCTGTGGTATTATCCAAAAAGTGTATCTGAGAAAATGTAAAACCCTTGACACTAAGGGGTACGTGAGATGTTAGTTCGCTTTGACTCTGCTCTCAAGGTAAAATTCCGGTGCAAAAAGGTGATGTTCCATTAAGATAGTGCAGGGATTATATGTGTCTGCATTCGCCAGTCTGGACTCCATTTGGATTTGAATGGGATCTTTTGCCACATCAACCATATACCCTAGGCATTGCTCTTTCAGACTTCTACATTTTGTTGGTGCTTATCTTCTATTCTGCACAGAACGTTAAAAATGAGATTGATCTATCACCCTCAGTATATTATAATGCCATCAATAATATTTTCTTCAGTATTTTTAAAACAGAGTTCTGGCAGTGTGGATATGTATAGCTACTAAGAAACATTTTGTTTCTCAACAAATCCTGCCGTACACCTAATTGGGAGGAAAGATGCATCCAACAATGTTTTCTTCGAAAACAGACTTTCATCATGTTTAGCAGTACTGTCAGGGCTGCCTATTTTTACTGACAATCTACACATTGATCCATGGCCACAAACTTCTTTTAAATAACTGTTGCAATCTTGGAATTAATCATATCAAGTTGATACTAACAGAGTTCATATTATTAATGGATGTTAATATATTAAATATTATGGTAAGAAAATGTGGTGCATTTATCAAGCCAGGAATTCCATGCACAGAGTTGCCAACTTTTCCGATTTAGGCGGTAGACTCCCGATTTTCAGCCACTCTCCCGCCAACCCAATTTACAATATATTTCTCCCGACTTTTTCTTATTCTTAAAATTTCTCACGATTTTTATGGAACTTGGCTTACTACTTCGTATATGCCCTACAAAAAATGTGTTTTGGACGTCTGAAGCAGTGAATTTATTTAGGTATAACAAACTGCGAATCAGATGGAATTTCTGCTTTTGAGTGAGGGCATACGTTCAGAAACATCGTTTCCAATCCTCCAATGCATGGTCATGCGGTCATCTGGATATATCGACCAATGAGCACCTAGCTCAAGCTGTTAGTTGTATGTTCTTTAGTTATTTCGTTCTCTTGCCTGGTGTGCGAGTACATGTATCAATCAATGTCCCCTACTTTCTTGGGAACATGCAAGACCTGACTCGGAACGGGAGTACTAAAGCTATGTTCAATAAAGTGGGAAGTAGACAAGATAACGGAAGGGTTATGAACCCTTTTTTTCACTCTTTACAATAATTCCGTACGTCGGAATACAGAGACCACTACTTGTGTCTGAATGTAGATAAAAAAATATTAACTAACTCTAACTTACTTTTGAATATAAACAAGGGGCCTTATAACAGAAGCCGTATGTATACAGAGAATGTAACACTACAAACGTTAAAAATTATCACGAGGTTAAACCTCTGGCCTTGAAGGCAAAGCAATGAGTAACTGCTAAGGTAAGCGGCCTGCTTCGACTAACTCCTTCCTCTTCTGCTTGGCAAAAGCCAAAACTTAGTAATTGGCGTTCGCAAGACAATTTGCATAAATAAGTTAACGCTTTAATTCTGGCCGGAAGTATAAAATAAGAAGTGATAGTAAAGATTTAAATAAAATAAACGTTAGTAAAACTAAGATCCTACACATTGACTTCGGGAAAATAGTTGTAGAACAATCATATTTGTTTATGTGTGAGAAGGTTGGGAATACTGTGAGTTTCAAAAAATCATACACAGTTGACTTTCTCCTTTTCCTCAAGAAAATGTAAAAATTGCGATGTGTACGTCTGCGTTGCGATTTTTCAATTCCGCATGGTGGAAGGGCAGATGTTCCAAACATGTGCTACACAAAGAGAACATGAGCGTTTTTGAAAAAAAAAAAAAAAAGAAAAAATCATTTTTCCAGAAAAAGGACAGAAAGTATTATTGCAGAATGTATGTTCTGCGTTTACGGAGAGCCAAACATGACACTGAAACATGGAGCAGCGCAGCTTTATTAGAAAAGTTCCCGGGTAATGAAAATCGCGAAGAATACTCAACTGCAGGACCAAAACAGGTGCAATTGTTAAAGAAATGGGTGAAAAATAAATCTTATATGATGCATTAAACAGCTCCGTCCCTTTACGATGGAGCAATAGACCGATTTGAAACTCTATCCAATTGTTTCTTTTGTAATCCAAGTCTCAGAATTGAGTGGAGTTTACTTTCTGTCCCCTTAGAGGACATCCACAGGCTTTAATATGCACACAATATAAACTTTAAAGAAAGCATCCTAGGATATTGCTTAGCACTGGTGCCGTAATGCACCAAATAACAGGCTTGAAGCTGTTTTGCAGGCACTTAAGAAAGAAATTCAGATTGCAGCTATGAAGTGCACTGTACCTTTAAATTTTGCGCTGAAAAAGGGCGCCTCTTTACCAGTAAGTGGCTAAAACACATGGTGAGTTAATATCTTAAAAGGAGTTCTAAAAAGGAAAGGAAAAATTGAACAGCTCCACAGCTGCATAACTGAATTAGTAAGACCATTAGAAAACTTTTATAGCAAAAGCAGACCAAGTGGCAATGTCTGAAACATTTATGAGTTTCTTCTGAACAAAGAAAAAACTGCCACTGTTTATAACTTTGCACGAAAAAGGATTAAGTGTCCTTGTTTTTCCCTTTCTTGCACCCGGAAACGTGCAAGTATAAAATGTTTATGTGTAAGGTATTTTTGTGTGCTTGCATTAAGACTTAGTAACATTCAAGTTAATGTGTTATTAAAAAACGATATTGTATCATTTAAAAAGTTTTACCATTGTGAAAAATCTGATTTTGAGTGTCAAAGGTGGCAGTATGCGATGCATAACTCTCTCACTGCTACTTTATCCAAATAGGTTAAAAAAAATGTGTATTTTTTATTACATATTTGAAATATACAAAAAATTTGCAAAGAGTTTTTGTAATAAGATTAGATCATAGAAAAAGATTGTCCGAATACTGAATTGAAGAATGATATAAAAAGGAAAATTTTGACACTAATATTGGTCAAAATTATGATTTATTTATAAACTATAAAGGTAAAAACATGCATACTAAAGGAAATATTTACATAATGTAATATTTGCGTATCAATTTTGCCCCACTGTCAACATTTCAATAGAAACTGAATTTCAGATTATCACTATATGCAGGGATCCAGAGAAATTCTCATCAGTATCTATAATATCTTCAATTACTGAAATCGTGTCGGAAATATATTCAGGGATATAGGACATATCACTCGCGAATGCTCCTGCCATATCTCTTGAGCTCTGGAAAAGCAGTTCGCAAATGCGCTTACGGTATTCTTGTATATTTGGCAGAAATGTGGACAACTAATGCTATCTGTTAGCCCACATCTAAATAAAAAATTAAACATCACAGAAAAGCCGAAAGGAAACCTTGAACGGAGAAAGAGCGGGTTGCACAGTTAAATAGACTGCAAAAATTAATCCCCGCGGAAATCGCGGGTTGCGCAAATTTTGCTACTTTTACATTGCCAGGGGAAATTGCGGGATGCACAGCAAGAGGGTTAGAGCATCTAAAGTTGTGCAAATCGTGCACTCTGCACTAGCAGAATTGATTTTTTTTGGTTGCACATATCATAAAGGGTAATTTTAATCCGCGTGTACTTTCTTAAAGGCATAAATTTCTATTCTAAAATAGAGTGAAATATCACATTTCTTTATAAAACAATGAAACAAATGTTGTAAAAGTTAAATGCTATTTAATTTGGTTTTTAATTGAACATAACTTCCCAATTTTAATTTGAGAACATCTGAAGCAGCTTTCGAACGCAAAGTTTCCAGATTCTGCCGTGCTTGTTCCCTCCCTCCACCAAAGCTCATTAAATTACTCCCCCTTTTTTTAGCATTTTGATCAAATTTAGGTTTAAAAAAAACTTTTGAAGTGAAGATTCAAGGAAACGTGAAGAAAATTAATGGACTGTTATTTTTAAAAAAAATGACTGATTATGAACTTATAATGCTTGCGAAGCTTGCTACTTGTAAATCTTTACGTTCACGATTAATAAATGAGTTATGAGCATTTTTCTTGTCTCTGTCTAGATTTAAAGTTTCTTTATTTCCCTGTAAAATTCAGAATTTCATTGTAAAAACTTCAATTATGATTTATGGATGTTAATTTTATTTAAGATTATCTGTGATTTAAAATATTTGGTTCATTAATATATCAGTAGGTTTAAAGATATTTCTGCTTGAGTAATAATGAGAATTTCTAATTAATGATGTATACAATTCAGAAGAAGTGTGTTTAATTATTCGACTTTTCATATTTGATTATTTTAAGTTTTAACATAATTATAATTAACAGTTGATTAAAAATTAACAGCTAAAGTGCCTTACATTTTAAAGTTTTGTAAATGATGTTAAAGCATTGTCCACTAGCAAGTTTTGTTGTAAGTTGGAGCCTGTAGAATGCCGGTTTGATATTACTTTTTTGTTTCCTAAACTAAGAAATACAGAAATTAGTGTTTATTTAGAGCAAAGCAAAGTGAAAAATTTGATTTGTTTACCTCAAACAAGCAATTGATTATTTTTAGTTAAAATCCTTTCTAAAGAAAATGAATCCAACATTACAGTGTGTCATATTTCTAAATATTGTTTGCTCTTTTTTATTAAAACCAATCATCCTTTCATAGTTAAGTATTTTTCTTTGGTACTCTGAAGTAATAAAATAATTCAGAAGGGGGAGAAGATTGTTTAATTTGTGCTTAATATGTTTATTCATTTCTTTCAACATAATTTGTAATTTAGGCTCTAGAAAGTGTTCAGGAAATAAAGAAAGATCTGCCAATAATTATAGAATCTCATTCTTCAAATCAACTGCCAGAAAATGTTAATGATATTGATGCAGAAGATGCTAAAAATCCACAGCTTGTCAGCATTTATGTGAATGATATTTATAACTACATGAGGCAATTGGAGGTAATTCTTACAATATTAGTTTTCTTATAGATCATTAAATTTTGCAAGCTACATTTTATTTTGTCATATGTGCTTTGTAATTAAGTAAATGGGAATATTTTAATCTCAGTATGTCTGATTTGAAAAATGCATAATTTTGTTCTTGTGTGATGCCTTTTTCTCAAATTTAAGAGTAATGATTGCTTATATGTTACTTAATCAAAAAATGCAGTAGTATGTTGCCATATTCTAAAATGTTAAATTATTGCTAAAATGAAAACAAGTTAACTGTTCTTTCATGTAAAATAATAAGTAGATTCACTGCTAGTTTTACAGTTTGTTTAAAAGCATGAAGGAAATTGAAATTATAACAAAGAGAAAAGTTATAGTTCATATTTAAAGTACAGGGATTGTTAAGGTATTTAAATAAATGGTTTAAAATAATCTTTGAGAAAAATTGCCTTATTTTTAACTGGATTTTTTTTAATCCTGTGCCAACTTTAGTATTTTAAACGTTTATTCTCAGCAGGGCAGTCGGAAAGGTAGTTGGTAGTCATGTCAGCCAGCCTTGGTGAGTTAATCAAACCCACACAAAGGAGATGGTTATAAAATAGTCATGGCTAGTTCTAAAATGAAAATTTGCTATATCCAAAGCTCTATAAAAATTAAAACTGAAGTTTTTAATAAAGAATTACAGAACTTCTTTCCAGTCATTTCTTTAAATGTTTTACTGATGTAAATTGATGCTGGATTTAATAAATCTTTTGACAGTTGAAAAATCAGTAAAGAATATGGTTAAACCCGAATCAGTCTTGGCCAAGCTAGGTCTTTATAAATAATACTATAGTAGCGAGGGATAGCTATAGTAGTTAAATAAATTTTTTTATCATTAACCACTTCTCGTGTTCGGGCACTTGAAAAGGGGCCTTCCCTGTTTTGCCCGAACGCCGCTCGTGCGACTGATTTTTTTTTCCTCTCTTGCAATGATTTGCCCGAATTTTATGCTTGATTAATTTGCAATGCTTCCAACAGATGGCTCTAGTAGTCCAGGAAAGATCTGATGCAAATCCAGTTCAGTTTATCTTTTACGCGGGAAAAGTTGTCATTTGGTTTGACTCAATCTGCTTACTATACAGCTCGCTGCAAATTCTATTTCTTTTGAAGCTGAAAGTAGAAGAATGAGTGATTTGAACATCTCATAACAGATGATAACTCTTACAGTGGATCAGACAGTGAATCTGAAATTTCCATAAATGATTCTGGAAGTAATGAAAGTTCGTTTTCGGACTTTTCAAGTGATGAGGAAACTGAAAGTTCGGATGACCTAACTCAAGTTCGAAACTTTGTGAACTAGATATAACAAATCCTCCTTACCTCCACCTCGATTCCATTCACAGCAAATCCAACTTTTCATGTAATATTGATCTAAGTAATGGAACTCTACAATTTCTGATATTTTCTTTGATGATAATCTTCTTGAAATTATAGTTTCTGAAACCAATAAATATGCAGATCGGACCATTCGAAGAGTAATCTACGAAGGAAAAGCGGAGCAAAAAAAGGGAACCAACAAAAAGCGCGAAATTCAAGTGTTTCTTGCTTTGAAATTTGCAGGAATTGTAAAAAAGCCTGAAGTTGAGCAATACTGGAGTAAGAGACATTCAACATCAACTCCATTTTTTCCAAAATTATGTCTTACTGACGCTTTTATCTTGTTCACGGTATTTACATTTTTCTGATGATACCGAATTTGATGCTACAACATGAGTGTCCAAAACTGCAGAAACTGTGGCCGATCATCAAGCATTTGAATACTGTTACCGAGAACTATCACACCTGAAAGAGATGTTACAATCGTGAGAGTTTATGCTGTACAAGGAAAGATTCACTGGAAACAGTAATACCTCTAAAGAGATCACGATGGCATAAAAAAGTTTTATTTTATGTGAATCGAAGTCAGGTTATGTGTATCAACTATTATATACACTGGGAAGATACACTTTTTGAGATAATTACAGCATTTGTGCAGTCCTCTCAAGTAGTGATGACCACTTTATGCAGCCACTATTGAAAAAAGGATACTGCCTAACGACGACAATTTACGCATCACCAGAACTTGCAGATATCCTTATAACCATCAAACAGATGTATATGGAACCCTCAAACTTACCAGAAAGGACGTCCCAAAAGAATTACAGAAAAAAAATTAAAATTAGGAGAAATTGTGCGTACCAAAGAGGAAAGTCTGTCTAATGAAATGGATGGATAAGAAAGCTGTATCTCTATTATCCACAATAACATCTCTATAATGATTGAAGTTCCATCTTACAAGGATGAAGTCAGAAAGAAACCAAAGTAGTGATGAAATAATAATACCATGGGAGGTATTGATAGAATGGATCAGCATCTCACCAATTATCCAGTCACAAAGAAGAGACGAAAAAAATATTACAAAAAAATATTCTTCCACCTTTTAGATGTATCGCTGTGAAATGCATTCGTTTTATACCAGAAGCATGGAGGTAAATACTTGCATTTGAATTTCAGATTTGATATAATTGATCGCCTGATTGAAAGACACAGGACTGTAAATGTAAAAAAAAGGACAACCAGGAATTTTGCCCAATCCCTTACGATTGACTGAAAGGCACTTTTAGAAGTGATTGCTCCCAGCGACAAAAAACCGAGACCAACGAGGCAGTGCTTGTGTGTGCTCTAAAAGAAAGATTTCGGTATAAAAGAGTGAGAAAAAAAAATAGATATTTTTTGTCCCGACTGCGATGTTGGGACTATGCTTGTCACCGTGTTTTAAAGTTTTTCATACAAAAGCTGAATTTTAAAAGATATTAGATGTAAGTATAATAATAAATTCTCTTTTCTAATATCCATTTCTGTAAAGTGTTTCCCAGATCGCTTATTTCACCGGAAAAAAGCCAACTTTAAAAATGTAATTTTTCGTTGTAAATAAAAATTATCATAACTTTATAAATTCAACACTTATAATAGTTTTGACTCTTGATTTGAGTTTCTATAATCGATTTTAAAATAAAATTGTTTTTGAAAAAATATGCTTATTTTTTTGACACAATATGTCAGAAAAAAGAGACTTAAGTGGTTAAGAGATGCAGAAGAAAATATCTTAGTGAAAGCCTGTAAGTCGAGATAACATTTGACACTGTTATTGCCAGTGTCTCAAAAGCTGAAGAAACTGCAGATGCTTGATCAGTTATTATAAAATTTACCAGTAGCTCTGTTGAAATTAAGATGTTCTATGGAAATTCCGGCTTTAGCATTTACATTGATTTTGATAGTGAAAACATCTGTATAAACATGTAACCAGTTTGCAAACGTTAAGTCGTGTACCTGTAGAAAAATTACTTATATAAGTAAGAATCACAATAGATTATAGTTAACAATATTAGTATGTTTGGTGATGTGTTTAAACAGGATTTCTACTAAGGACGTGCTCATGAAGTTTGACTGCTAGTTCTTTTGTCAAGTTCAAGAAGTTGTATATGTTGGCTCAAAATTATCATGTTTCTGAAGTTTTTAAACTAATTAAAAAATAAATCTATCTCTACTCACCCACCAGTGGTTCTCAAACCAGTTTGCAGTTAAATAAATGGTGTCAATTAGGGTGACCACTGCCTGCATATATTTTAAGAGCATGGTTTTAAATAATGTCTTTTTCAATAGCTCAGTTCCATATTTAATAGCAAGTCTTATCTAGGTCTTTAAAGTAATGTAAAAGCATATTCTATGAAGCAATCCATTTCAACCTTGGTGGGATCTCTTTAAGCCTTTCGAGATTGGGTATTGATGCCTGCAAGATCCTTAAAAAGGACGCGGTTTTCGTACTTCACACTTTCTCCATGCCAAGAAGTCCCTTGCTGTTTGTAACAATGGCCCTTTTAGGTAATTTGATTCATGCTGAAAGACTTGTATAAAAGGAAATTAAATGTATGAATTTCTAAACTTGTCTAAACTTGGAGTTTATTATTTAAAATTCCTCAATTTTGGCGTAAATGGGAAAAAAGTCCTTAATTTTACTCAGCTGGTAGTTCTATTCTTTTTTTTTTTTTTTTTTTTTTTTTTTTTTTACTGCCAGTTTGAGTGTGAATTAACATTTTGGAGGAATATTTTTTGGTGAAGTAGTGATAAATATTTATTTAATGGGTTAACATTTGAATTATTTTCAAACTATCTAGCTTTAAATTTGGCTATTTATCAACATTTTGGTGATTTCAAGATCAGTTTATAGTATATAAAAATGTTTGGAGGCATTTATGACTTTTTACAAAAGTAACATTGATAAATATCATAAAATAATATATATTAAAATTATAGTTAAGATATAACATTAAAATAAAATATTTTTATTTTATCCTACCACATTTTAAAGGGACATTACTTTCTATTTTAATGTCTTAGGAATATTTTTGATTCTAAAAAATAAAGTAATGAATGCTATAAAGCAGTTTCCAAAACACTACTAAAGAAACAAAAAAAAATATTGTAATTATTTAAAATATTTCAATTATCTTTCATATTTTTTCACAATAACAATTGTTTTAGAATATTTAAATGGGTATCAGTGTTCTTTTGAAAATTCAGTTTACACTTCTCTTTTCTGAAATTTTTGTTTAAATCTTCTAGGTTTTTGCTCTTGCAGATTTGGTATAGATTTTTCTTTCGGATTTCAGATTTTGTACCTTGGAAGCTCTAAGGGCAATATTTATAGATCATTTACTTTATAGGCTTACAATTTTCAAAAAAAATGTGATGACTGTGTCTCCAACCTATTAACACATAATGGGTGTATTTTATAGGAAATTAGTCATGAATTTCTCATTCTTTGGAGAATTTTTGGAAAAATTGTAAAAACAAAATTATTTTAATTTTTCTCCTTTTGATCCCAGAAATCTTTCATATAACATCTTCTATTTATTTTCTTATGTTCATCTAGCCACAAACACTGAAACAAGGAAAGCAATAAAATTGAAAACAACAATTTATTAAAA